AAATAATGGATAACATTAAGAATGGAAATTTCAGAATACCTTAATGTACTCATGAAGAACTTGTACATAGACTAGGAGTATGTCGTTCAAACAGAAAAAGGGGACACTGCATAGTTTAAAATTAGAGAGTGCATTAGGATTGCATCCTTTCACCATACTTATTTAATCTGTGTGCTGAGCAAATAATACAAGCTTGACTTTATAAAGAAGAACGTGGCACCGAGGTTGGAGGAAGACTCATTAACAACCTGAGATATACAGACAACACAACTTTGCTTGCTGAAAGTGATGATGACTTGAAGCACTTACTGATGAAGATTGAAGACTGCAGTCTGCAGTGCGGCTTACACCTCAATATAAAGAAAATAAAAATCCTCACAACTGGACCAATGAGCAGCATCATGATAAATGGAGAAAAGATTGAAGTTGTCAAAGACTTCATATTACTTCATACTCTAACACCAATGAAAGCAGCAGTCAAGACATAAGACGATGTATTGCACTGGGTAAATCTGCTGCAAAAGACCCCTTCAAGTGCTGAAGAGCCAAGATACCTCCTTGAAGACTAAGGTGCATTTAAACCAAGCCATGGTATTCTCAATCATCTTATATGCATGTGAGAGGTGAACAATGAATAAGGAAGACTGAAGGAGAGTTGATACTTTTGTGTTGTGGTGTTGGTGAAGAATAGTAAAAGTACCATGGACTGCCAGAAGAACTAACAAATTTGTCCTGGAAGAAGTGCAGCTGAAATTCTCCTTGGAAACGAGAATGGCCAGACATCTACCATTTGTCATATTGTCAGAAGGGACCATTCCCTGGAAAAGGATATCATGCTTGGTAAAGTTGGAGGGTCAATGAAAAAGCGTTGCAACAATGGGCTTGGACATAGCAAGGATGTTGGGTGGCACAGGACCCGGCAGTGTTTTGTTCTGTTGTACGCAGGGTTGCTATGAATCAGAGATGACTCAACGGCACCTAACAACAACAACATGGCCAGCAAAGTGTAAAATATTTATTATCCAGCCCTTTGTAGAAAAGAGTTTGCTGACCTCTGATCCATAAGGTAAGATTCCTTAAAAGGTTGGTGGAATTTAGAGGCAAAACAAGGATAGGAAATAATGAGTGTAATCGGAAGGAAAGAATCTGTATAGGTGATGGTGAATTTGTAATTTATTTTCTGAAAAATTAGAAATGCTGGTTGTAAGACTCATTAACAGAGTACCAAAAAACTCTGTTGAGCAAGCAAAGATATGAATTAGGTTTTTGGCAATGAAGGAAAATACAATCTTGACAGTTTTATTAGTGTCTCAAAATAGGGTAATCAGTGGAGGATTTTTATAAGGCTTAAAGCCTGGGCTGTGTTCTAATGTGGGTCTTGAAAGGTATAGAACTAGTGAGAATTGGATAACTTTTTAATATTCTAGTTGAATGCAACAAAATATAAATAAAAAATGTATACAATTATGACCATAATCTATTACTAACAATCTATTAAATAGTTATTAATTATGATAGCTCTGGTGGCGTTGTAACTAAGGCATTTGACTGCTAATCAGAAGGCTGGCAGTTCAAACCCACTAGCCACTCCTCAGAAGTAAGAATGGGCTATCTACTTCCGTAGAGATACCACCTCAGAAACCCAAGGAGGGGTCACTCTGAGGAGGATTCGACTCAATGGTATGTTTTTTTTTTTTTTTTTGTAAGTAAGTAGGATATTCACTTCTCTTTAGTCTCAAATTCAATCTTCTAAAATAACTGGCTGCGTTCACTAAATGGGTGTATTTGGAATTCCTAAACTTTGAATACCAACAATGTTGTCCATAATGATTTTTCAAATTTCCAGCTTCTGGTTTCTAAGTCTTGGCAGTACTAACATTTTGGGCCAGATTGAATTCTTTATATATGGGGCTGTCCTAGGCACTGGAGTATATTTAGCAGCATCCCTGGCCTCTATCCATTACGTTACAGTAGCAGTCCTCCCCATCTCTGTGACAACCAAAAATGTCTCCAGACATTGTTGAAGTTTCCCTAGTGGACAAAATTGTCCCTTGCTAAAAATCCTTGTTCTAGTTTATCATATAATCTGATTTGTTATAAACATTTTCTATTGTTGTGGGTTATATAGCAATATAAACTCTTGATTCTAAGTATTTTTTTAGCTTATAATTTTCATTAGCTAACTATAGTGCTCTAGTGGATAAGGCACTTGACTCAAACCCCCCAGCTGCTCCATGGAAGGAAAACTGAGCAATCTACATCCATAAAGATTTACAGCCTTGGAAATCCAATGGGGTTTGTTATGAGTCAGAAATGACTCGATGGCAGTGAATTTTTATTAACCATGGAGACATGTATACATTGCACTTAAATATTAACAATAAAGACAGGACTAAATCCCTTCTCATTTGCCTGTACAATGAATTGCCATTATAGTTTCCTCAAGAAATTGAGGTGCTTCAGAGTCATTGCTTAATTTGAATTCTTAATTTCAATGTTTGAAATAATATCTCACTTCCAACTCACTCACATACCCTAACTCCCACATCTCAGATCAAGGACCCTTTCTCCCAAGTTCTCTTGTGATTCAGTATGATAATGTGCAACCTTTCTTTAGGTTTAGATTTGTCTTAATTACCTAATGGTGCTGTAACAAAACACTACAAGTTGATGGCTTCAACCAACAAATTTATTCTCTCACAGCTTAGGAGGCTAGAAATCTAAATGCAGGGTACCATATTGAGGGAAGGCATTTTCTCTGTTAGCTCTAGGGGAAGGTCTCCTTTCAACATCTGTGGACTCTATGCCCCTTGGGGATCTCCTTGAGTCTTGGCATCAATCTTCCCACAGGTCAGGGTGGTTCTCAGCACAGGGGCCCCAGGTCCAGAAGATGTATTCTGTTGCCTACTGTTATTTCTTGGTGGTACTGAGCTCCTGCTCTCTCCTTGCTTCTCTTTGCTTTTATCCCTTTTAAGATAAAAGGTGATATAGGCCACACCCCAGGCAACTCCTCTTATACCATATTAGGGCTGTGACCTAAGTAAGAGTGTTGGATGCCACCCTAATCCCCTTACAAGTAACTGGCTGATCATATCAGATTATATCATGGGGGAACATTACATCATTACACAATCACCAAATTACATCATTACATAACTGACAAACCACTGAGAATCATAGCCTATCCAAGTTGACACATATTATGGGTGGACAGAATTCAATCCAGGACAGCATGTGTACCCTAAAAAAAATTATCTACACATTTTTTAATATGAAATTTTGAGAATCCCAAATGGTTAATTAAAAACCTGTCTCCAAAGACAGGCAAATAAGACTCTTCAAACTCTTCCAGTCAATAGCAGCAAGTGTCCTACATTTGGCTTTTGTCTCTTCTTACTCTGCTCATAGGGAACTCTGGTGGTGCAATGGCTAAAACAGTCAACTACTTATCAGAAGGTTGATGGTTCAAACCCAGCAGTTGCTCCATGGGAGAAAGATGAGGCAGTCTGCTTCTGTAAAGTTACAGCCTTGGAAACCCTACAGGGAAGTTCTACTCTGCCGTATAGAGTCACTATGAGTTATAATCAACTCAGTGGCAGTGAGTTTTTTGGTTTTTTTTTTTGTTGTTGTTGTTTGTTTGTTTTAACTCTGCCCTTTCTGAAGAACTTAGCTTCTATAATGCATACAGAGTGTCGTAGTTAAGGTTGCGTGTCAACCTGGCTGGGTCTGGTTGAGTGGCTGGGCAGATGGACCAGATGAGACTGCTAATCAACTCCATGGTGGGATCTTCTGTGAGCAGCTGAGTAGCTGCCTTAGGGATGTGGCCTGCCTCCTGTATATAAGGAGAAGCCTTGGAGAATGGTCTCTAGCTTATGGCACCTTGAACCCTCCATATAGCTGTGTCATTGTTCAGCAGCCTGCCATACTATGTCAACCTTGGGACTTTCAAGGGACTTGAATTAATGGCCTGCAGTGTGGTTTGGTAACATCAGGACTGTGCCTTTTTACTTGTCAACCTTGGGATTGTCGGTCTCAGCAGCTAGCAGCTGAGTGAAGAAAAGCCTCCAGCTTCAGTGGGCTGGGAGTAGGAGGCAGAGCTGAAGCCCAAGACTGAAGGGCTTTCACCCAGGCCCTAGAGCCTAGCACTTTGAACTCAGACTTAAAGCCTCCAAACTTTTATACAAAAACATTTTATACAAAAATCTCTTTATAATATTTTGTCTTCCCCTTCTCAGTATGATCACCACTGAACAATGATACAGGATAGTAAAGCATTTTTCAGTGGATCATCCATTTGAAGAAAAGTAAATATAAGACACCATTACAATGTTATTTATGTGTTTCAAATCAATGAACAACTAGGCTTCTTTTAAGAAATGTAATTTTCCTTGTCAGAAAGAACGGAAAAAGAATACTTGAAAAAATAATTTAAAAATATTCACTTTTCCTCCAACACTTCCTTCTCACAGAGTTAAACTGTCCCCAAGGAAACTAATTTATTATTCTCTATTTGGGATGCTAAAGGTTTGGAAGTATCGATACTTAATATCAGTAATAGAATGCCTGAATGTCAGTAATAGGATCATTAATAAATGTTTCCCTTCCATATGGCACTATGATGAAATGCTCAAATCTAAAGTTCTGCCTTCATTTCTGATGATGTCCAAATTTGCCACTGTTTTAAGAAATACATACAGTGTTTAGTTCTAAAGACCTCAGTTAATCTGGAGCCAGGCTACATTTCCACTCTAATTTCCCAATATTTTGCTGCATACGTGCTTGTTCTAATCAGTTTCAAGTACTTTTGCTAATATAATTCATGACTCAGCTTAAATGTAACATTATCCACTAAATGGGCCTTGAAATTCCAGGAATACAAAGGGTCTGGGGGACTGAACTAGAGCCCAATTCACAAGAGAGAAATCTTTTATTGGTTACTTCATATACATTATTCCATACAGTCATGGGCTTAACTTTCTAGCCTTATGTGGCTTTGGATTTCACACCAAGGAAGACTGAGGGCTAACAGTAGCATTACAAGAAGGGACATGAGGGGAGCAAATGGTGAGAGAGTCTGAATTAATGCCTTCATTTGGAATACAAAAAGAAAATATAGGCCTGACAGTTCCATGGAAGGTGAGACAAGATACATTGTAAATGAGGGATTTCTCGGTCATATTATAGAATGATATGTGCCCATACTCATAGTCTAGGAAAACGCCAACTTTGTGCATATGCACTCTCAAGGAAACTGATTTTAAAGGGGGAAAGACCCAGAAGGTACAGTCAGTCCCCATCATGGACCTTGTGAGTAAGACTTTATCTCCACGAGCTTTGAGCATGTCATTCTTTCTGCTGGCACAATCTTGATATATGCCTAATTGCCAATTTGTTGCTTTTCCCACATCTACCTCCCAGTAGTGCCTCCCTGAGGTGAAACACTCCAGACTCAACACAGTGGCACTGAAGTCAAATCTCCCTGGATTGCCAGGTACATCCTGCTGGATACTTCTGAATCTGATACTTCTTAGATCCTCAGATAAGACCAGACAAGGATGAGCTGTTTCAGGGTCCAAAGTTATATGTCCTGCAAGGAAAGGGAAATTCTGTTAACCTCTTTGTACACAGGGTGTCTCTGAGTTGGAATTGACTTGATGGCAGCTAACAACAACTACAAAAAAACCACAAGCAACCATAAATGCCAATATCGGAGACTGATAATTTCTAACATGTAGGGGCTTCCTAATCAGTGAGGACAAGTTTCAAGCATAGGTATAAACCAAACCAAACTCACTGCCATCAAGTCAATTCTGACTCATGACAACCCCAACTGGATTTCCAAGGCAGTAAATCTACAGAAGTATATTGCCCCATCTTCTTTCCACAAAACGGCTGGTAGGTTTGACCTGCCGACCTTCTGTTTAGCAGTCAAATTTCTTAGGCACTGTGCCACGAGAAGTCCTTAAGCATATGGGGGGAAAACAAAACAAAACAAAACTCACTGCCGTCCATTCATTTTCAACTTGGGTTTCTGAGGCAGTATCTCTATGGAAGTAGATTGCCCAATCTTCTTTCTGAGGAGTGGCTGGTAGGTTTGAACCACCAGCCTTCTGGTTAGCAGTAATATGCCTTAGCCATCATGCCACCAGAATTCCCATAGGTATTAAAAAAATAAACAAACAAAAAAAACCTCACTGCCATCCCGTCAATTCTGACTCATAGCGACCCCCTTTGGGTTTCTGAGTCCATAAATCTTTACGGAAGTAGATTGCCCAGTCTTCTTTCTGCAGAGTTTGAACTGCCAACCTTTAGGTATAGGAGAAGCTATTTAGAAGAGTCTGGTAAAAGGAACTTCTAAGCTTTGCTTCAGAGCTCTGGTAGCATAGTGCCTAAGGCACTTGATAGCTAACCAGAAGGCTGGTGGTTCAAATCCACCAGTCACTTCTCAGAAGGAAGGTTGGGCGATCTACTTCTGCCGTGATACTGTCTTGGAAACCCAAGGAGGGGTCGCTATGAGTCAGGTCTGACTCAATGGCACATAATAACAACAACAACAACAAGATTTGCATCCATAAATGGACATCACAAAGGAATACATCACATCAATAAGATGATAGAGGAGGGCAAAATCTACCTAAAAGAACTAAACAAAAAATAATGGATTAAAGATCAGTTTAAAGGTACCAAAAAAAAAAGGAGGGGACCAGGTTTGCTGGTCCAATAGAGCTGGATGGAATCACTGAGACTATGGCCCCTAGCTGCCCTTCAGGTCTGGAATTGAACCCACATCTGTGGTTTCCAGCCAAACAAAAGACAGGCATATGAATTGAACATTTACCTCAAGTAGATACACTCCTTGGAGAGAACAATCATGGGAGAAAGAAGGGCTGCTTATGCACAGGGAGACAGCTCAGGGGGCAGGAGTGCATGGAGGGATGGACACTGGGAAGAGGTAACTATGGGGAGGAAGTGGAAGGGGAGCTGTTGCATTGTGGTAAACTGTGGTCAATGACATGAGACAAAGTATATGTGAACTGCTGTATGGAAAGTGAATTTGCTCTGTAAATCTTCATCCAAATCACAATTAAAAAAAAAAAAAAAAAAGATTTAAAGCCTCAGAAACCCAATGGGGGGGTCACTACGAGTCAGAAACAACTCAATGGTAATGAGTTTTTTTTGGTTGTTGTTTTTGAAAGAATAAATGTGGTGACATCTACAAAAGACAGCTTCTGGCATAGTTGATACTCAGTAGATGCTAGTGGCAAGTACAATTTTATCCACATTTTATAGATGAGGAAACTGAGAATCAAATAGAATAAGTTGTATGGTTTCATGGATAATAAATTATTGTGTCAGTTTTCAAAGCCTAGGCTATTTGACCCCAAACATTTTCAATTACACCTGAAGTCTTCAGAGTGGGATACGTAGAGGAGTCCAGAGTCCCAAGGGCAGTCACAGTAAGGTGGACAGTGCCTCCATAGTTGGAGGTCATTGTTGTGTTAAATATCCCAACAGGAGTGTTGCAAGTTTGAATAAGACTCAGCTGGAGTTCATGCAGCTTTCTAGACCCACAGAGACTACTAAAGAAGACAACAAATAAAGTAGAGTAGCAAAGTAGACAAACATGCAGAGACAGGTATAGCTCAATTGGTATGTGGGAAGCCAAGGCCCACAACAGGCATGAGGGTATCTGGATCTGAAGGCAGCCAAAGTAATAATAAATATGACTTATTGCTGGAATGAGGCTGTTGATGTTCTTTCTCCAGTCTAAAGAGATGTCAGAACTCAAGGAGCAGATGCTGAGAGTCAGAGGTCTCGGACAGTCACATTTGGGAGGGGCCAAAGTGGCTGAAAGTATCACTTTATAAAGTATACATTTTATTTTGTATTGCCACAATTGCTCTTCTGGTCACCTTTTTTCCAGAGGCAGATATAATCATGATCTGTTGTATTAACTAGCTTGAAACTAGCTTCCAAAGTGTCAACCCAGGTCGTGAGGCCAAATAAACTTGGGTTCAGACTAATCTCTTTGCAGTGATATTAAAATTGTTGTTATTGTTTGTTGTCATCAAGTAAGCTCAAATTCATGGCAATCTTACACATAACAGAGCAAAATGTTGCCTGGTCCTGTGCTATCTTCATTATCTTTGGCAAGTTTGAGTCCACTGTGGAAGCTACTGGGTCAATCCACCTCACAGGGGTGTTCCCTAATTTATGTTGACCCTTTACTTTACCAAGTGTAATGTCTTTCTCTAGGATTGGTCCTTCCTGATAAAGTGTCCAGAGTAAATGAGTCCAAGTCTCACCATCCTCATTTGTAGGGATTATTCTGGTTGGATTTTTTCTAAGACTGATTTGTTCATTCTTCTGTCAGCCCATGGTATAGTCAATATTCTTCACCAACAAGGATTGAACAGTGGCAGCAACAATGGACTCAAGCATACCAATGATCATGAAGAGGGTACAGGACTGGGCAACATTTCTTTCTGCTCTACACGGCATTTGCATAAGTCAGAACCAACTCAACAGCAGTTAACAACAACAACATAGTTGCTTGAAGATTAGAACTAGAATGAAGAACCTAGCATTTGGTCAATAAGTGCTGTGGTACAGTGAATTACTTGGTATATTTTTTCTAGCCATAGTCTTTGTAATTTCCACCAGATTACTGGGTGAGACCATGCAAATAAGGAGTGTAGAACTCTGATGTTGAGATTGCTTAGTTTTGTCACTTTGCTAGGCTTAAAATGATCCCTCCTAAGGAGCTCTGGTAGAGTGTGACTAAGGCATTTGACTGCTAACCAGAAGGCTGGCAGTTCAAACCCACCAGCCATTCCTCAAAAGGAAGGTTGGACTCTACTTCCATAGTGATACTGTGAGGCCATGTCTCTATATAACCACCCTGTATGTAACCATTTTAAGTATGTAGCCATTTTGCAATATGCCTTAGCATTCACTTCACGTTTTAGTGCTTTAGTTACTGGAAAAACCACAGAGTCCTAACTACCCCCACCTCATCGATACTCCCAAGCATTCCCCTTGGCAACAACCAATCAGTAAATGGTAGAGAAATACCTTACCTAAAATAGTTAGAAACGGCAGTTGGTGGCTTTGGCCCACAAGACAGAGCCAATCAAGTAGAAACAACTAGCAACTTGAAAAATGTCAACCAATCCTGTAATTTTCTGATTGAAACTTCCTCATTCCTGCTGTACCCCCTATAAAAAACCCATTACCCCTGAGTTCAGGGCTCTCAATCCTGAACTGCTGTGTTGGTGACAGTTGGGGGTCTGAGCTCAAGCTTGAATAAACAACCCCTATGCTTTTGCAGTGGAATCGGCTCCTTGGTGGTTTTTGGGGATTCAAGATCTGGGCACAACAATACTGCCCTGGAAACCCAAGGAAGGGTCTTGGTGAGTCAGGTCCAACTCGATGGCACATAACAACAACAACAAGAGGAAGAAAGGGGGTCTCACTGGCATCAAGAGAGAAAAGCTGGAGGTGAAGTAGAGATCATCTGTGGACCTGAGATCCCTGCATTGGATGTCCTTGGCAGTCACACCTGGTAGTGAGAGACCCCCGAGCAGATAGACACCCTGGCAAGAGACAGTCACAGTGGAACGAAGAGGCATATGACAGAATGGTGGGCTTACCTGCACACAGAGCAAGAGAGATGAGTACCTCAAGCAGGAGGCTTACTGACAGAGTGGGGTGTATATAGGTGTACCTATAGGCAGAGCCAAAAGAGCTCTGTAACACTTGCCCTAGCAGGGCAGAGTCCAGGCCAAGAGGCCAAGGGCTGGAGAGGCATGTTTGAGGGCACAGAAAAGGAGAGACTGTCGTGATCAGAGAATTGTGTCTGAGTATGTTTCTGAACCTGAATTGTAGCCTGTTACTTCTCTAATAAACCCCATAATCATGAAAAACAGAAAAAGAAAATTAAAGGTACCTTCAACACAGAGGGTATACAACTGGTTGGGTATCTATTCCCAGTTAGCCTGGGACCCCACTCTAGTTCTCTAAAGATCTCCAAGACTGAACAGCAAGAAGCATCAGAGTTTCCTAATAGCATAACTGATTCATGGTTCTTGTCTGTGACTGAATTACTTTTGTCAGCTTAAATATCACTTGAGTTTGACTTCGGTAGCAAGAAATTGCTGTCGGCAAGCCCTTAACATTGAGCAGTTCAAAAAAGAACCTATCAGCGGAAGTGAGATAACCTGTGAGAATCTTCCACAAAATCAAGCTGAGCACAAAAAGAAAGCTTGATGTGATTTTCTCATAGTTGAATGAAAGAGATACTTTGTGAGTCTGCATTCAACCTAGTGGATCTGCTAATGCTTCTGTGAACCACTCTCCTCTGCCAATTCACTGATGCTGGCTTTCTTCATATCTCTAACTATTCTTTATCTCTTTTTGTACAATCTCTACATATTGGGATTTTTCATGGCTTGGTCCTGGTGTTCTTTTTTCTTTGTCTAGGTAACTTCATCTAGCCTTAGTCATAAATATCTTCTATATTTTTATAAGTCACTTATAACACAAACTACCAACTGTTAGCTGGATGTAATATAGGAATTTCAAATG